GCCCCCCCCCCCCCCCCCACTAAAGAACTCTTGGCTCCGCCACTGCTAATCATTCAATTGTGGGTAGGCTTCTATCACAGAGATAAAAGAATTATATCAAAGAATGCGATATACAATAGTCCTAATCTGTACAGTTTCACTGTAAAACGAGAGATACACCAATATATCAAGGAATTCTCTTGTGTTCCGTTTAACAAAAAAAACTTTTGATAGGTTTTTCCTAATTTGTCAGTATCAAAACTTATCAGCACCCAAATACATTTATCAATTTCAAAGGAAGAAAAAAAAGAACGATAAGCTTACCTTGATCCAAGGAGCAGAAACGGAAGATTTGAATCCAAATCCAACTAAATCTGGCGCAGTACGGGTTGAGAAGAAGCCTGAATTGACTGGTCCGCGGTAGATGCCAACCGAAGATCGAAGTGCCGCAGCCGCCTCCATTCTGCACGATTTCAACAATTCTGCACAATCAGAAAAATCGAATCCACAAAATCAAAGATCTAAATATGTATGGAGTCGATCAATGATAGGGGGCGCACCTACGGGTGGAGCTATCTAAGCGGTTTCTGAGTTTTGGGGGAATCAACTGGAATCCGAAGGTGTTAACCAAAACTTATACTCCCAGGTCCAAAATTAAAAGGTTGATGATTGACTGAAGTTATTTTCAAATCATTTTATATGAAAAATGGTGTGGAATTAAGAAATAAAAATTACATATTAAAAAACTATATCAAAAGATCTACAAAACTAGAGGTGACATAACTATATTCTTTTATCAAATGGATGACGAAAATAGGCCAACAAAGTGAATAAAGTTTGACCCTGTGATAGTGAACGTAAAGTTTATTTGTGAACGGAGGGAGTATCAAAAGTATATATCCAACATTTTTATAATTCACACTAAGGCCCCGTTTAGTACACGGAATTCAAACTATGGAATTGAAACTAAGGACTTCAATTCCAAATCTTGTGTTTGGTAGTGATGGGAAATAATACGTGGCTCGGCCCACATTTCCCAATTATTTACGAAGAACAGTTAAACCGGGTCTGTTTAATAAAATAGAGGAATAAGAGAATATTCTTCCGTAGATGCTCTCACCCTCTCTTATAAAAGGGAGGGTTGCCCTAATTGTTGAGGGAGGGCAAAAAATCACACTCTCCCCTGCCATTTACTATTTCTCACTCTAGATAGCATATTTTTCTTCTTCTTCAAGAGCTTCTAGCTCCACCATTAATGGCTTCTAAGCCTAGATCATGTACCGTGTATACACCCCCGATATTAATAAAAATCCCCCGTTGGCAAGGTACCGCCAAAAAAGGCCCGTGGTTTTCTCCCGATTTGGGTTTCCACGTCAAAATCCCCGTGTTTATATTTTGGTGTATTTTTAGACTAGTTTATCGTTTTAGCCGGGCTACAAACGGTATACCGTTCGATAATTTACACCATCATTTTGGCGCCGACCGTGGGACCAGAACAAGAAGCTGTTAAAATTCCGGCGGGCCGATAACAACGGATAGAGTGTCGGGTGAAATTAACCACTTGCATATAAAGTCGGGATTCACAATTCTAACCCAAAAGCTTAAGCTGATAGGTAGGGCTTCACCCTTCAATATATGCAAGTGATACTCATCTTTATTTTCCGATGTGGGAACTCCATGATAAAATTTGGGCTTTGATACCATGATAAAATTTGGGATGTGTATGAACAACTGGATTGGGTAATAAGATACTTGGGCTGAACCACATTAAAAGATTGAATCCAATCGATTAGTTAGTTCAACTCAAGAACTTATATACCGATTATTTTTCTCACACTTTTCCGATGTGGGATACTCTTAACACTCCCCCTCAAGTGGACAACCGTGCCATTTTGAATCTAACCGGTTGACCACTTGCAAATGAACTCTCATTCCCTTGACTTTCTTTTTTTGAGCGCCAACACCTAAAGGACCACGAGACGCTGGGTATGGACTTCCAGACGAGCAATCGTGTTAAACGGGCCACATGCCGTTGGATACATACTCCATACGGACGACTGGGCTAAAGACTAACGGGCCGCTAGGAATAAACGTCTAGATGGACACCTTGACAAACGAGGTGGGCCAAAACCTGCTCTGATACATTAAAAGATTGAATCCAATCGATTAGTTAGTTCAACTCAAGAACTTATATACCGATTATTTTTCTCACACTTTTCCGATGTGGGATACTCTTAACACTCCCCCTCAAGTGGACAACCGGGCCATTTTGAATCTAACCGGTTGACCACTTGCAAATGAACTCTCATTCCCTTGACTTTCTTTTTTTGAGCGCCAACACCTAAAGGACCACGAGCCGCTGGGTATGGACTTCCAGACGAGCAATCGTGTTAAACGGGCCACATGCCGTTGGATACATACTCCATACGGACAACTGGGCTAAAGACTAACGAGCCGCTAGGAATGAACGTCTAGATGGACACCTTGACAAACGAGGTGGGCCAAAACCTGCTCTGATACCATGATAGAATTTGGGACGGGTATGGACAATTCAATTGGGTAATAAGACACTTGGGTTGAACCACATTAAAAGATTGAATCCAATCGATTAGTTAGTTCAACTCAAGAACTTATATACCGATTATTTTTCTCACACTTTTCCGATGTGGGATACTCTTAACAGAAGCTGTGCTTTTGTCCGGCCATCTTTCCGTCGGTGGAAGGAAAAAAAAAGTGAATTTCAAGAGTCAAATAAAGGGACTCAAAGAGAGAAATGGCCAAATTATACCGAACATATGTTCTGGCCTTCAACTGTTAATGCCTCCTGGATCTTTCGTAGCCACCTTCATTGCGGCTACCAGGTCCACCTTCGTCGTGGCTGCTGGAGTAACAGTGGTACAAAAACCCAGAGAGATCACTCTCTGTTCGCCGCTGCCGTCATGGGTTGTGGCCACCACTGCCGCCGGTTGATGGAACCACCACACCAAATCATGAAACCGCACCCCGTTGATGTGTCTGCCCCTGTCGCCGCTGGAGCCGATCATTGGAATCTAGTATTGCCGTCGTAGTGGGGGTCAGTTGTGGCTAGAATCCACAGAGGCTGCACACAGAGTTTGCCACTGCGGGAATTCATCCCTGCCACTTCGCTCGGGGCTAACAGGCAATGACCAAGAAACACGCCATTGCCACTACCAGAGGTTCATGGTCATTGACGTTACCACGATTGAGTTCACCATCGTTGCTATTCATCGTGGCCGATCGGGATATGATCGCTGCCGCTTCACTCTCGAGACAACTTTGCCGATGTCACCCACTGGCCACTACCATCACTGGAGGATAATCCATCTAGATCTACCACTGTCGCATATGTCCACCACCACGTTATTGAAGTCTGCCACCAGCGCTACTGAGGTCTGGCCATCGTGACAACTGTTTAAAAAAAAACTTCCAGATCTTTTCGCCACTGAGGTTATCCATTTTCGCCGCTGAAGCGGATCACTTCTGCTAAAGAAGTCTGTCACCACCGTCGCCATTGGATCTGCCGTCATCGCCTGCACGCCAGAGGTCGGTGGTCATCCGTGGTGCCACCGAGGTCCGTTGTAGCCAAAATCTTCCACTACCGAAATCTGATCTCTTGAACATCAGATCCGCCGCCACCGCCACTGTTGCGGCCGTTGCAGTTTTGGATCGCTGCAATGATGCGGTATCCAAGTCACTGAAACCACCGCGGGAGCCAGCCACAAGCCATTTCTAGATGGAGACGAGGTTTACCGACATCATACTGGTTCTCGGATGTGTCAACTATGCCGTCATCATTGCAGCAATCGTGGACTCTCAGGTCGCCGTCTCTGACCATCCACCGTGGAAGGACTGAGCTTCGTAGCTACGGCCTCTTATAGATATGCAACCACCGACGTTACCGGATGTGATTCCGCCTTAGATCATGGTAATTGCGGCTGAAATTCCTCTCATTTAATGTACTCCTAGCGAATCTGCCATCCCAGTTATAAAAATCCACCACCGTCAATAGCTCTGGAGCGCACAACAGCTGCTTCCCTTTGGATTCCAGCTTGGGTCTCCCGTCCAAAAAGACAAGACAAAAGAGAGAATGATGTATGTGCTATGGGCTTCACACTTTTTGATGAAATGGGATACAGCTGTGTACTCTGTAAATACTACATCACCATTATTTTTTGGAGCATATGGGTAGAAGTGGGACCCATTTCTATCCTTGATCAGTGGAGCACTTCATGGGAAAAACTCCAAATGCTTACATATCAGAATCTTTGTACGGAGTATATGCAAAGAAGAGACCGGCCAAAGTGAAAGAGGACAACAACTACAAAAAAGAAGATAAAATGAGATGTGGAAGATGGGATGGCAAATTGGAGTAATAATGAGAATGGTGGGGGCCATTGATTCCATTATATGGAATAATTAAAAGGCTCCTCGAGAAAATTCGAGGGAGTTTCACAATTTCACATGTTATTTGGCCCCACAAGTCCACTTAAAATCTCAAAGATATTGCTTTGGTGGAATTGCGTACGGGATGCGTGTATCTTGGGAGATTTGTCTTGATGAAGACAGGAAGACTGGGACACAGGCCTGGACCTGGAATGCTGGTTACTACACCGGTCTTGCTCAGTATTAAATAAAAAATAATAAACCCGGAAGAGGGTATGCCTGCAAGAGGGCTGGACCTGGAAGAAGGTTCGAACCGTACTTACACGGGCCCATGAGGTTTGACCGGTATCGGGGAATCAGCCGAGACTGGCAAACTGATTGGGGACTAAAAGATGCCCATTAAAAGAAATAGAAGAGGGATCGTCCACCGTGGCGCATCCTATTTCCCCCTTCTCAGGGAAGACTTGAACGGGGGGTGAGCTAAGGCCTTCCCGGGATAGTAAATATCAAAGGGCCATTAAAAGACTTAATCACCCGGAAGAAGGGGCCCTGGAAGAAGGGTGCATTTTGGGCCTTGGAGAGGGCTCGAAACCATCCGACATGGTTAATTCTCCAATGTTGACATGGCCCGGCCAGCAGCATTATCTTATTGGAAGACTAAGACACAGGCCTGGTCTGGCACGCTGGTTACTACACCGGTCTTGCTCAGTATAATAAAGAAAATATGTGACCCAATCGAACTGGTACACTGGTCTCACACCAGTCTTACACATATTTTCTAATAAGCCTGAGCCCAATCGAATTGGGTACACCGATTGCACATCGGTTTCAGCAAAAAAGTGAGCAAACTCATATCGGGGACGCCCGATTCATTTAAGCCCTCAATCTGAGGCACTTTGATCGAAGATGGTCTCCGCGAGACATGAAGATATTTACATCAGTCAACCGGGCTAACACTGATCTTCAACAAAGCTACCGCATCGGATTCAATTCTTATTAACTAAGGTCATTGTCATCGGTATACTAATTTCGTCACGCATCGTTTGCTTGACTCGTATTAACACCGACCTCGACGAAATAACTTTTCGAAGCATCGTTGCTTTATCGAACTGACATCGCTCTCGTTACGATAATTATTCGCACGAATCTTAATCATCTAACACTGAGCTCCTCGGTAAAAATAATAATTTTTTGAGCACGGCATAGGCCGGTAAAAAAAAATGTTGTACAAATTATTTTTTGCAGGAAAAAACTTACGATTCAAGAAATTAGAGAATTAATGAAGACTCGGAGGACTAGCAATAATATCTACCGGTCAAGAATTCAAGGTACGAAGACTGAAGATCACACTCGGAGAACTTGTTTACTTTTTTAAGTTGATGATTCTCACAACTCAAAAAAGTGGAGGACTTCTTGATGGGAAATAATACGTGGCTCGGCCCACATTTCCCAATTATTTACGAAGAACAGTTAAACCGGGTCTGTTTAATAAAATAGAGGAATAAGAGAATATTCTTCCGTAGATGCTCTCACCCTCTCCTATAAAAGGGAGGGTTGCCCTAATTGTTGAGGGAGGGCAAAAAATTACACTCTCCCCTGCCATTTACTATTTCTCACTCTAGATAGCATATTTTTCTTCTTCTTCAAGAGCTTCTAGCTCCACCATTAATGGCTTCTAAGCCTAAATCATGTACCGTGTATACACCCCCGATATTAATAAAAATCCCCCGTTGGCAAGGTACCGCCAAAAAAGGCCCGTGGTTTTCTCCCGATTTGGGTTTCCACGTCAAAATCCCCGTGTTTATATTTTGGTGTATTTTTAGACTAGTTTATCGTTTTAGCCGGGCTAAAAACGGTATACCGGTCGATAATTTACACCATCAGGTATCACAAAAATTATGTGGATTTGGAATTGGTAGTGCAAAAATTGAATTGAAATTGGTGAATTCAATTATATGGAATTGAATCCCATGAAATTTTAATTCCAATTCAAGTCCAATTTCATCAATTTCGTATACCAAACGGACCATAACACAAAATGTTAGTGTATTAATAAAAATTTATATTCTGTATTAACAAAAATTAGTATTACACCAACACAAAATATTTGTGTACACATACAGTGAACAAGTGGAATACAAAAAACCTTAAAGTACAAATAGCTTTATCCTAAATATCCAAGCCATCGTAAAAGAGACAATAAAGGATGTGTTTGGTTGGTTGAAAAGATATGGTTGGATGTGTGAAAAAATTAGAGTAATTTAGAAAATGAAAAAATTATCTGAAATAATCCCACAATTTTATATTTTTTCAAAAATAATTCTACTTTTCTTTGCTACCAAAAACAATTTCATATTTTCGCATGTGTAAGTTTTGGACTACAATTTAAAAACCAACTGCCATTTAACAGAATCTTTTGAAAATCTCTGCTTTTGGAAATAAATGAAAGGTGATATTATTTTAAGTAAATTTACTTTTTAATTTTTTTTAAATTTTAAAATTTATGTTTTTAAAAATCTAACAGTATACTCTTATTATAGATTTCTCTCAGTTTTTTTTAAAAAAAATTAATGATTTACAAGTTTTGTTTTTGTTCCAGTAGAAATATAATATTAGATTATTGAAAATAATTCCGAGTACTCGAGAAATTACAATACAAAAAATTTGCAATGAGTTATGAAATTATTCAGTTCCGTTTTAGAGAAAAAAAGTTTTAAAACATGCTTTTTCTAAAAATTCTGATAAGTCGCGGTTAGCTTTTTAGCGGCGATCCAAAATACGCACACATTTGAAAAGGTGGAATTATTTCTGTTAACAGGAGATTATTTTTAAAAAAACGCAAAAATGTGGGATTATTTGAGATAATTTTTCCTTTAGAAAAAATTTGAAGAAGTTTTAAGAAGTTTAATTTGCACTAAATAGGACTAAAACATAAATCAATTCTCAATGTAGGACTTAAACTTTTTTATTCCCTAAATAAGACTTAATAATATCTTAGTGAGAGGAACAATGTCCTGTAATGATGGATATTTATTTGAATAATGACTAATTGATAATGACCAAAGATCCTACATTGAGAAATAAAAACATATGGTCATATATTAAGAAAGTTCTTACTCCCTCCGTCCGGATTTCAAGTTCCCACTCTACGCTTTTCTCGGTCCGGATTTCAAGTTCTCACTCTACGCTTTCTAACCCACTTTTCCTAAAATACCCTTCGCCCTTCTTTCTTCTTCCGTTTTCTTTCTCCCTTCATTTTCAATTCCTAATCTCTTATCTCTTTTTCTTTCTTTTTTTCGGATCTGCACTCTTCCATTGTCCACTGGTTTATTTCTTTCTCCTCCTCCTCTTCAATCCCAATTATTTCTCCTCTTCGTTTTGTTTTCTTCTTCTCAAAATCTCCTTAGATTTACTTCTTCTTTCTCTCTCTCGTCTCTTTAGATCTACTTCTTCTTTCTCTCTCTCTCGTCACTTTCTTCTTCTTCTTCTTCTTCTTCTCCCTAGTCAAAATCTTCAATTCACAGTCTCCCCAGATTTACAAGGAACGGCAGGCCTGCGGCAGCGGGGAGGCTGACGGTGGCGGTGGCCCTGCGGCAGAGATGATCGGAGCAAGGGGCGGCAATTGGTGTTGGCGAAGGTAATAGGAGAAAGGTGCGGTGTTGGTCCCATTTTTTTTAAAAATATGCTACGAGGTAGCTTAAACTATCCGAAAACTAACTCTTGAAGGACTTTCCGTCCATCCTTCCGTCATATTCACTTGCTCCGTCATCATTTCATCATCTTCTTTTCAAAAATTACTGTTAGGTACTCCTAATTTTATCGAAAGAACTTTCAGGTCCAATCCTTTTTTAAAAAATACTTTAGGGTACTCTAAAAGATCTTAAACTTACTCAGGAGAGACTTTTTTTTCTTTCTATTATTATTATTATTATTATTATCATTACTCACTTCAGCATTGTCTTTCGCAGTTGTCACCGGGTTGTCGCTGGCCACCGTTATTGCTTATTGAGTCACGCTAGATTGACACTGCACACATTCTAATAATAATAGTAATAATAATGAGGAAAAATTATTTCAAACAATCCTAACTTTTTGTGCTCTTTAAAAATTAATTTCACTGTTCACTTTCACCAGAAATAGGGTGCGTCTGGAAAACATCTTTTCGGATAGCCTTTTGGCTTCTTTGAATGACTTTGGCTTGTTTGACATATCGAACCGCCAAAAACATTGTTTGGCTAATGACCTTTTCACTTGGCTTTTTTATCGAAAATGCCAAAATCCGAAAAACCAATAGGAGTAGCTTTGAATTAAAAATAAAAGTTAAAAAAATTCAAAAATTAAAAAAATGAAATTTAAATTTTAACTTTTCATAACCGAAATTAAATTTCCCTTAGCGCGATACTTTGAATTATTTCTAGAGCGATACTTGAATTATTTTTCGATAAACTGAAATTATATTTCCCTTAGAGCAGAAAAAAATTATAAATTGTTATATTTTTAAGAAAAATTATTTTAAAAACTTAAATTTTAAATATAAAATTAAAAAAATTAAAGTTATCTAAAATAATCTCACATTTCATTTATTTGTGAAAAACATGTATTTTTTAAATATTTCGTTAAGTGACCTTTAGTTGTTTAACCGATGACCCAAATCTTGTACACATGCAGAAAAAGTGATTATATTCGGTGACAGTGAGAAGTGAGATTATTTTAAAAAAAATAAAAAAGTGAGATTGTTTAAGATAATTTTTCTAATAATAATAATAATCATAATAATAATAATATAACAATAATAATAACAAAAACAACAACAACAACAATAACAACAACAATAACAACAATAATAATAAAATAAGAAAAAAATCCCTCCAGAGTAAGTTTCTAGATATTTTAAGAAATATGGGACCTAAAAGTTCTTTCAATAAAAATGTGGGTACCTAGCAACCATTTTTGAAAAGAAGATGATGAAAAGATAACGGAGCTAGTGAATATGATGGAGGGATGGACGAGAAGTCCCTCCAGGGTTAGTTTTCGGATATTCTAAGGTACTCCGAACTCCGAAGTATATTTTTGAAAACGATGGGTTTCTAGTGAAAACGAAGTATATTTTTGAAAATGATAGGACCAGAGAGTTCTTATCTCAAAACCGAGAGTACCCAATAACAATATTTTACACTTTGCCTTGTGGAAAGTAAGAGGAAAACAATCATTTAATTGTTATTTTATCTAGAAACACAAAGAGAGATCAAACTTCGAGTTATAGTAGCAATACACTCTTTTAAGATATACAAAAACATTAAAGTTACAACTTACAAACCCATAGGACATGCAACTTTTTTCACTACGGTCATGACAGGACACACCTCTTTTCCCCAAAATGGTACTATTTTTGCCAAAGGATTTGCTCGTCAATCTTGCTGAGCTTCACATCATCGAGTCGTTTCCATGTCTTGATTCTCTCAACCACATTCCACGACTTGTCCCCTTTTCCAAGCTCAGCCAGAATGACTCTTGCTCTCCTTGGCCACCCAGCAGCACCATAGCCATGGTATCCAAAACCTCCACCATAGCAAAACCATATGCCCTCCAGATTCCCACAGAAATCGTTTGTGTGATCATGGCCTATGAAAACAGCCTTTACGTCTCCCAGGGAGACGAGCGTCTTCAGGACTCTAGAGTTTACAAATGAACATGCGACATGTTCCCGGTACTGCCCGATAATACCTTTTATGGGGCCTTGTTTCATTTCTGGGACGGGGATGTGGAAGAAGGTCAGTGCAGGGGCAGAATTGGAAAATTCAGATGTTTTGGATCCGGAGTCCTGATTTTGCTCCTGTTATTTCGGGACCTGCTAGGTGTTAATGGTTCCCGGCTAGGGAAATTCCTTCTCATGATAAAGAATATTGTTTGCAGCATCTCAAGAGGAGAGGAATTGGTATAAAGGTCAATTAGCAGTTTAATGAGGCGATAAAGAACACAAATCATACTCGGTAGTAAATGTTTACATGACATAATTATCAACTCATCGCTTAATAAAAAAACTTTATGGGCTCTCCTATTATAGATTTATTACTGCCTGGTCCCTGCTCCCGATAAAAATAGTCCTTTTGGACAAAGGTATAATTTTATACTTTTATTAAGGTGCAACCTTAAACTAATAAAAACCATCAAATACAGCTATATTTCTAGTTTTTTTGTTGATTTAACTAAATTTAGCACATACGTGTTTGGGACACTTTATTTTATTTTATTTTTTTGAAAAGGGACACTTCTTTATTAGAAACATTAACTATTATCAAAATTACTTTCTTTTATTCAAATCAGACTTATTTGTTTGGGACAATAATAAACTTGGAAAAAAGACTATTTTTTTAGATTGGGGGGGGCTATCATATTGTTCTTTTGGGCAAAGAATATCAGGTGTCTAAAGTAATGATGAAAGCTTGACCACTTATTTTATGTCATTTCTCATTACATCCTCCTAAATGTTGGGATACATGCATACTACTACGAGTCTACGACAATACTCATTTGTCATTTCTATATTTTACTATATGTTCATATAATTATCAAACAAGGAAACATTTAGTGGTATATCTCGTAAAACATCCCATCTGAAGGGTTAACATTTTTTAGGATGAGTATATTTATTGACATTGATCTATTTCCACGTTGTCTGATTATTGGCAAAACTAAGATTCTCTTTGAGACTAGTTAGCATTGGTAAAGAAACAACTTTAATGGTAACATAATAATCTGTATTTGACAGTGATCTATTTGAGAACATCCCATCTTTAGTGGTATATCTCGTAAATTATCCCATCTGAAGGGTTAACATTTTTTAGGATGAGTATGTTTATTGACATTGATCTATTTCCACATTGTCTAATTATTGGCAAAAACTAAGATTCTCTTTGAAACTAGTTAGCATTGCTAAAGAAACAACTTTTATGGTAACATAATAATCTGTATTTGACAGTGGAAACACATTCAATTTCTCCTGTATGTTGACATTCATATGTACTATGCATATGAAGGTGCAGATGGTAAGGGATATTAACCAGAAAAAGATGTAATAGTAATACATGCATGTAGGTGCATAATTATGGGAACTCTGTGAAGTAGGAGTTGCTATACCTGAAACTCTTTAGAAATACCGTGAAGCCAACGAAGCTGTGACTCTTTAATCCATCCATAAGTTTTAATTCCATGGACTACAGCTCTGTCCCCACTGTCAAGAAAGTAGAGATTAAGGACAGTGCAATTCGCATACTCTGAGCCTGGAGCACCCCGTACTCTCAGATTATAATTCCCAAACCCATCAATATGTGGATGACAATCTTGATTGCCTGCACCATAAGCATATTTAGCTGTAGGAAAAGTTTGTGACAGAGAATAATCCATTAGGGAGATGAAAGACATCAATTCTTCACGATTCATTGTTGATTCCTGATCGTGGTTCCCTAAAACTGCAGCCCATGGAATACGAGAGTTTATAACAGGCGCAAAAGCTCTGAATAGAGATTCAGCTGCATCTGTAGCACTTGTTCCAAATATATTATCTCCTATATGCCAAAAAAAAGAGAATGGCCAGTTTAGTAAATACTAAAAAGAAGCTTAGAAGAAGCAACATAACACGCGATGTAAATACAAACTATATTGTTGACTTGAACCCAGTGATAAAACGAAGTGAAGGAAACCCATTATTAAAAATATGAACTTATGAAAAGTACTTGTTATATCAAACTGAATGGAAAAAATACCAGAGTACAAAGTACCAAATTTCTAGTGGTGGAGGGAAAACATCAGTAAGTAAGATAAGTATAGTTTGCTTGCCAACATTTTCTTCAAGAAACAACTGCATGTGCTCAAATTACATCTCGTTGACTTTCATATTTTCAAAATTGTGATCCCTAAACATAATCTACATGTCATGTGATATAATTATAAATTAGTGAAATTTGCACTGAATAGGACTAAAACACAAGTCATTTTCCAATGTAGGACTTAAACTTTTTTATTCCCTAAATAGGACTTAATAATGACTAGTGAGAAGAATAATGTCCAAGTGGTGCTGGACATTTAGTTGAATAATGACTAATAGATAATGACCAATGGTCCTACATTGGGAAATAAAAACATATGGTCCTATATTGAGAAAGTCATTATGTTATAAATTATTAGACAACCGACAGAAATGCCATTATGACATCGTTCATCTTTACATCCAATATGATCTACCAAAGCTATGAACAAATTAGTTTAATTTAATGAAAAACCATTCGCATCTGCTAAGTGCCTACTATTAGCATCCGCTACCTAAAAGATCACTTATGGTATCTCCTAGCAACAACAAAAATAAAGAAATAACGAGTACATAAAAGTGAAAGAGATATTAAGTACAGTCTCTTTCAAAGTTTCAAGACAAGATTGTTGTACTTAGAATGCCTTTTAAGTGCTGGAAATCAAAGAACTCTGATTCTTTCTGGGTGCAGGAAGTTGGTGTTTTCCAGGACAGTATTGGAATTCTCAACGTTTGCTGTCTTTCTTGCAAGAAGTCATGAAGTAGTTGGATGCCATATAATGATAACAAATTGGAATTCCACAAAGGCAATAGCAAATTGATAATACATACGAGTAACAGACATTTTCTGCACCTAGCTCTCTCTAATTTCCCCAGAGTACCACCTCTTTTCCTTAATTATCTCGTCCACGACTGACCTAAGATTCTTTCTTAAGGCACAATTACATCGATGCTACCCATTGCTAACATTATGATATTTTAGATATCTTAATCTGAAGGGATATGGTCCTCCCCCACCCCCCCAGACCTCATTTTTGTATTTCTTACTGTTTTTACAATAAACGACAGGTAAGATGTTCCAGGCCCTTCCCCCACAGGTGGTCAAACGCTAGGATAAAAGACATAAAGATTCCTTAATTGATGAAAGTGAAAAGATGCTCTCTAATTCACAAATCAGTTATGCATAATTGTATGAACCTTATATGACTGTGTAAACAATAGAATACGAATACGGAATACCAGTAAAAACAACGAAATCAGGCCTCTCGAGTTGAATCATCTTTTCAAGGAACTGAGTGGTGTTGAGATCGGAGCAGTAATCGAATTCACTATCCAGGACATCTCTGCATCGAGTTCCCATACCATTCCCAAAATGCATGTCAGCTACCTGAAAAAAACAAAACCCCCAAAATTCTACAAAATTTTGAAGGAAAAAAAAAAGATGAATCGATCCTGAGATCATGTGGACCGAAACAGTAAAATATACCTGAAGGATTTTGAAATTCCCATCAGAGTTGAATCGCAGGGGAAGCGGCGGTAGCTTCTTGACTCTGACATGTTGGTGATTGAGTGTGAGTTTTGGGGATATGATCAGGGCGTGGAAAAGATGAATGGAAGCAATTAATAGGAAGGAGAATGATAGGGTTTGGATCCATGAAGCAGAATGCTCCATATCCGTGTATTGCATTTGTATATATCTATATCTAATAATTTGAGATATTAATAGTTATAATAAAACTTTGTCGTAGAATTAAAGTAATTAATGGTTGTGTAGGTACTATGAATTCATGAACTTAATAATACAACGCCATCAACTAAAAACACACGGAGTGCATGTTTTTTTTCATACATCACCATATAAATGTACTATTCCTTCCTGTATTTGTTCAGTTTAATTTTTTTTTGAATTAAATTAAATTTGATTTTTTCGAGTTAAATTGAATAAACTTTAAATTTCAATTAAATAAATATTATAATGTATTTTAACATAAAAATGACTTTATTAGATTTATCGTATTGAAAATTTTCAAAATTATATGTTAGGATTTGATTTGATATTATTAATATGAATATTATTCAGATATGTCTTGATATGATTATACGGAGTATTATGCATTATGCTATTATTAGTCATCCCGTGATAACCACAAAAGGATCCAAACACATGCATATGTCCAAACATGGAGCAGCTGGCCTGGCCAGCTGCGCATGGCCACCCATAATATCCTGTTGGTTATTTGTTTGGGTTAGAATTCATTGTATAGGCATTAATATACTACGGTATATTTTTTCCGTTTCACAAAATCCTTCTTCTTCTATTTTGTTTTTCACAAAACACTTTCACTTTCTATTAAAAACCACTCGTACCCCTACTTTTTCATATCCTACCTATCATATCATACTTTTTCGATAATAACCAAACTATCACATCTTACTATTTTCCATCACATTAGGGGTAAAATAGGAAACTCAACCAAAATTACATTTTCTTTATTTTTCACCAAAGTCAAAACCTGAATGGTACGGTATTGTGGAACGAAGGGTGTAGAGCAATGGTAAGGGTACACCAAAGGTGTACCCCATTTGTCCCCCACCTCTTTCTCCACTACTCATTTTTACCTCATTTTTATTTATTTAATTTTTTTAGTTTAAAAGTGTAGACAATGTACATTGGAGTTTAAAGTTTGTCCAGTTTAATTCAAAAAAGTCAAATTGGATAAATAGAGAGGAGAAAAGGTAATACATACGGAGTACATTGCATCGATCTCTCCCACTATGAGAACAAGTACGGAGTACATGGTTTTTTTATAAAGCCGAGTATTGGGAAAATGCTATTGATATTCCTGCCACCTCTATTATAACAGGAGTTGGGATGTGTAGGGAGTCTAGGGACATCTATTCAATAATTCTGAATTCTTGATAGTAATATGAATACTGATAATTAGCTTTTAAATAAGAAAAGAAAAATGAATACTGATAAATAAGTATGGAGTACAACAATGAGGGCCATGATACAGAAGGATTAATTAATAATTTATACTCCCTCCGTCCCAAATAGAATGTTACATTTCATTTTTTTGCGCATCACAAAAAGCACGGCTACTCACATCTAAAAATTCTAAAATTTACCATATTTACTCTTTATTATAAGATGAAATTGTTTTGAAAGTTTTTTTGGCATTTGAGACGATATAAAAGTGTTTTAAGGGATGCGCAAAAAATGAAACGTAACATTCTTTTTGGGACGGAGGGAGTATTATTTAGTTAATTAGATATTTTAATAGTTNTAATAATTTATACTCCCTCCGTCCCAAATAGAATGTTACATTTCATTTTTTTGCGCATCACAAAAAGCACGGCTACTCACATCTAAAAATTCTAAAATTTACCATATTTACTCTTTATTATAAGATGAAATTGTTTTGAAAGTTTTTTTGGCATTTGAGACGATATAAAAGTGTTTTAAGGGATGCGCAAAAAATGAAACGTAACATTCTTTTTGGGACGGAGGGAGTATTATTTAGTTAATTAGATATTTTAATAGTTTAGCTAGATAGTTTAATTATTTTTATTTACTTTTTATTGTTGAGTGAAAATATAACACTCCTTCGAGGGTTTTTTTTTGGTTCTTTACCTCAACACTTTTATTGAACCGACAGGCTTAGGGATTAGGTGTTTGCTAGGGTTAGGGTTTACCATCTTCATCTATATATTGAGTTGTAATCTCTTTTAATTAGAATATCATCAATGAAGAACAATAATATTTTCACCCCTAAACCCTAATCTCTCCTCCCTTCTCCTCTCAAATCTGGCATCCTTCCCTCCTTGACTCTCTCACTTCTTCTCCCAAATTCTTCATCTCCTCCCCCAATTTCTCAATTTCTCTTCTCTATTCGATACGTTACCGTATCAGGCCATCTGGGATGTGGGGTTGCAGAGACTCTCGACATCCTATTGTGATTCGGGGGTCGGCCTCAAAAAAATGAAAAGAAATTCGTTCATTCAAAATTTACATTTTGGATCTTATTTTATTATTTTAGAATACTCATCCTTGAATTGAAAGCAAAAAAAGTTTAAATTTTTACTCCATATTAATATCATTACAGTGGAATTATTTCGACCATGCCATCATATGAATGAGAATGAACCTTCAAGTAGAAACCTTTATAGGTCAAGGGCACATCCTTCTTAAAATTGTCAATTGTTCTTTTGCAAATGGCATTATTTTTTGCAGTGTAATTAGAAATAAGCGAGGATATTAATGATATTTATAGATCAAGCAGAAAAGTACCGAATAAGAATTAAAAAGTTCAATGCAAGTGTTAAAAGGGTATATGTAATACAAACATGGCAAAAAACATGATTCTCTACAATTCATACAACAAATACATAGATAAGAGCATAAGCAATGGACACACAAAACAACTTATCATGTTTGCGATGCATATCTTTTCCCTTGTTTTCTTTAGGCAGTTTCCTTTTTAATAAAACATGGAATTAAATTTTGTAGGGTGCGTGTATGGATGATGTGATGTTTGTAACCATGTGAGACAGGGCACAAGGCGGAAACTTCCAAAGGTGGCTGGCTTTGAATCATCACTTATCATCAGTACCAAGATCATTTAATTGATTTGCACCATGGTAGCTAATGATTTCCACACTACTCTGTAGAGTAATCATTTGTAAGTCAGACCTTCTACTTGGATTTTTTTTCTTCTTTTAGGAACATAATAGTGAATAGGGCAGAAAAAACCCAGACTACAACTTCATATCGTGCTTAGGGTTGAAAATGCATATTAATTCCTGAAGTCCCATGTTTGGCGTAGATGTCAATGACTCAATGTCGATGGCCCTCACGGACTTTCATCTTTCCTTTTAAGATGGTCAAATTACAAAAGGAATGTCTTTAAACCAATGTTTTCGTTATATATGGTTTCGTTGGAAGGTATGGATTGGATAGTCCTATCATAGCCTCAAAACTTACTGTCTTGGCATAAACTCTTATGACAATTGTTGATGACACATTGTCTTAAAGCAAATGACCGTTGATGTATCTTTCCCTATGAAAGATATATATTATCATTTATCAATCACACACACAGATATATATATGATAGAATTAGTTAGAAACTAAAATCTAACTACCTTTGTAAACTCTGCAAATCACAGGCTCATAAGCAATGTTTGTCGCAAGAGAAGGTTACTTAGTTTATACTTGACGGATGTACACTTCGCCTTATGTTTTAACCAAAATAATAAAAACAATATTTTGCTCATGTCAAATATTTTTGATTGAATAATCAATTTCACATTTACCACTTTGTGACATAAAAGTGGCATACATTTTTCATGATCACATAAATAGTAAAAATCACATACCTATTGGACCCGACTTTGGGTTCTTGGAAAGTCTATCTGCGATACTCCAACCACCAAGGACATGGCTGCTCGAGGTATCAGATTGGTGTCTCCAACCATGCCGAACAGCTCATTCTGGCACCTTTTTTTTTTTGTTTTGAAAACAAGCGATTATCCTAAATGCGAACGAAAGAAGTTGATTTTTAAATGTATATTTTCATTTGTTCATGGATTTATTTCCATCTTCTGATCTGCTAAGCTATAAGTTTAGAGAACCACTACTCTTTAGTGTTTGAAACACTACCAAATACTTTTGTTTTGTACCATTGCAATACTTAAGTCAGAAGATTTAATAGGCTTACTGTCTTATGTTTTTTGGACATGCTAGCTGGACATTTGATGGATATGTTTGTTGTCTAAAAATCCCTGTCTTTATGCCAATTTTACTGTCTTATGTTTTTTGTAAGGGACTTTGCTTTCCACAGTTCTATTTGAGCAGAGTGTTGATTAATGAAGATTGCCATGTTCCAAAAGAATTGCCTTGCAACGCAACGAGTGCACACACCTCGGGCCGTGTGAAGCACGAGGTAAAAAAAAAACTAGTGGTATATTTCATATAATGAAGTTAAATATTTTCTCTTAGGAAGTGGTTTTTTTTGGACTAAATGACGTGCATAGAAGCTCTTATTTAGGAAAAAGCTAACAGGTTCCAAGACGCGGAGGCGTGGAGCTCCTATCAAATTGTAGCCAGGCTATTTTAGCTGAGTTCCGTTATCTCCTCATTTCATCTCCCTTCGTTTCTCATATATTGAGTTAGTAATGATATACTTCCTCCGTTCTCAAAAACACTTCCTCTTTCATTTTTTTCACTTCCAACAAAACACTTCTCCTTTCCATTAAAAAACCACTTTTACCCTTACTTTTTCATATCCTACCTATCACATCATACTTTTTCTCTAATAATAAATCCATCACATTTTACTTTTATCCATCACATCAGGGTCAAAATTGGAAGTCAACTATAATTTTACACTTCCTTATTTTGTTTTATAGTCAAAGTGGGAAGGCTTTTACCAAACGGAGGGAGTATTTTTTTTCTTAAAAAACATCTAATTGTCTTTGTCAAAAATATTTTCTGACTTTTTTTAGAATACGGGATGTGTAATTTTGGTGTTACTTTTTAATTTTGTCCCCACTTTATTGTAGGGTAGGATACAATATGATGAGTAAATTAATAGTCAATATGTATATGATGCAATAAGTTGGTTAATACGTAGTATCTAGTAGGCCGGTAAAAGAAAGATTTTAATTGAAAATGTATAGAATTATCTTTTGAGCTCGAAAGAAAAATGAGAATAGAAAAATTTTTCAAAAGGAGAGTTAA